AGGGATCAGGGTTTGTTACCATTACTTAGGGTTTGGTACCCCAAGTAATGGTAAGCTTATGTGGGCTTGAGGGTTTAGGGGTCAGGGTTTAGGGTTTGGGGCTAGGGTTCGGTTTGGTGGACTTGGCATTAAAACAATCAAAGTTGACAGCTCGTATGCTGGGTGATTGAGCTCTTAGGTTCAGGGGGCGTGTTGATGTATTCAGTTCATGGGGCTTCCAAGTCTGCCCGTGTTTGCGGTTTTCAAAGCCTGCCTTTTCGAGGTTGAGGGACCCCCTCAACCCTAAACCCCCAAACCCTACTGTAAATCCTCAGCCCAAAGCTGGTTTACGACTGTCACCTTAAGGTGACTTGGAGTCATAGCGGATATTCACAGAACAGGGGCGCTGTCTTCAGAGCCCCCGTAATACGCATTGTATTATACTGCTGTCTACTATGGGACCCTATCTGAGGAGATGCCCCTATATATAACTTCCAAATACTCTACATAACCCCATATACATGTGTATATATATATATATATACAACCTCGATGTGACCCCATATCTCGGTGTGGCATGACTCGGATTCTGGGTAGCCACCCTGTAGCTGCAGCGGCACAAGAACGTCCTTCACGCAAAGGGTTGGAGCTGCAAGATGCATCCACTCGGTGGAGAATCAAATGGTAAAGTAAAGAGAAAGGAACATGAAATGGAAACACCAATTCTGGGCCTTAACATGGGATTGCAATGTCCTTGGGGCTTGAAGTCTACGCATACTACCTACATGTGGCCCTACAGTCTGTAAATTATCTACCCAAGCTATTTGGAGCCCCGCGCTCCTTAGCAGTCAAGCTAGCATGATTGCTGCGCAACTACGCAGACCAAGAGCCAAACAAACAGCCGAGTCTCGTAGGGGCCCCAGATATTCTGAGACCGCGCCACGCCCTCTGCATAGCTTTCCTCCGGGCATGTGAGAAAGTACGTATTCTTTCACGCTAGATAACGAAGCCTCATGGGAAAGTATGTGCTCTTTCCCGCCGTTAGATAACGAAGCTTCACACAAGGACCCAGCTGCGCGTATAGCCCACCACGAGCATTTGCGGGGCAAAGCGGGGCCCATATACTACCTGGGCCTGGTTAATTAGCTATATCATTTTGCGATCTGTTGAGGTACCCAGGACTATAATGACTCCTTGGAGGACTATCATAGTTACAGTTACCTGTAAACAGGGACCTGTCATTTTTCGAAGTCCTAATCTCTAAAATCACCGTTTCCATCTCCCCTTCCATAACTGGAGTAAAAACAACAGGGGCCCTACATTTGCAAAACACCAGCGTCACTTTTGCAAACTCGAATGTCTCAAACCCTCGACTCCAAGTTCTCTTCCTCCGGCTTGCGAGGACATGAGCCAGAATTCTTATGGGATCCTATACTACACCCGCCCTTCCTCCCCCTCCCTCAAAGTAGCCAAGCAAGGCCTAATTCGGTTCCATTCAAGACCCTTTCGGGGAGTGGGTAGCCACATCTACGTACTCTGGCATGGACCGCACGTGACCTCGCATATACTACACCACCCGACAAGACTTGCAACCAAAACGCTGTAGCATCCTATATCATTTCCGAACCCGACATCCACAACCACCTCCCTGCGAACCGATGACTCCACATGCGAACCTTAAAGCTTAAACCGACATGGGACTTGCCTACAATTACAGTTCTCCAAATGGACAAATTTATAGAGGGACGCGTACTTCAATAGGAGCCCCACCATAAAGACCCGCCTGAAAATGAATTTGAGGAAATCCCGAAGTCCCCACATCAATGCAGCCTATTCCTATTCCCCATCACTGTTGCTCTAAGCTGGCAAGGGGCCTTCTTTTCTTGAAGCTTAAGTTTCTCATAGCCTACTCAAAGCTGTACTTTAAAACCTATATAGCTCCGTTAGGACCTCCATAGCGTCTAAATGGGGTTCTAACTACAACTCTCATTGGGTCATAGCTTTACAAATGGTAGTGGGCCATACATAGAGACCCCAGTACACCTCTAAATGTTGTAGTCTTTATAAGGGGGACCACCAGCAAGATACACTGACTCTAAAAACCTTTATTTTCGGAAAGAAAAAAACTTGAGTTCCGGAGTCCTGGCAAAAGCGGCCAGACGCAAAGAAGAGGAAGTACCAACTTCCTTTCGCTGCAGCATAATGTAAAGCCGGTAGGGTTTGCAGGGTTTAGGGTTTAATAAGCCCGCTCCTAAGGGCCTTATTATTAGGATCCCTATTATAATCCCTATTACGGCGGGGGGTTTTCAATAAGGGGTCTACATTATCAGGTTCCTAACTGAGATAAGACTATGTCTGCTTCTTGGGAACAATAACATTTTCTAGTGTATAGTTCTTGGGCTTTAGATGGCTACAGAAAAGCACGAAGAGAATGACATTGCAAATAATGACTCACATATCCTGCTCCACGAGCGCCTTTTGAAACAGCTGTGTAGCAAGACGTTTGCTTGTTTCTCTTGCATAGGGGCCCGCCCTCATGTAATCCCGTAAACCCTAAACCCGTAACCTAAACCCTAAACCCCTCAACCCCTAAACCCTAAACCCTAAACCCTGAACCCTAAACACTACAGTCCCTAACTACAAGCTGCCGCCTAGCCGCCGCGCCGGACCAGCTCGGGCCCTTCGACGAGACTTCCGCCTTTGACCCAGCTATCCACCCACCTGGGCTTTTGAAAGGTTTAGGGTTTAGGATTTAGGGTTTAGGGTTTAAAAGTAGGGTGTGAGGGTCTAGCTTAAGGTGCATAGATATTGCGCTATGGCTTATGGCCTTCTCGATAACTCCGGCCCGCTTCAGGATCCTTGGGATGTGTAAGATACAAGGATTCCAAGGGGAGTATAGGCTCCTTTTCAAGGACTGTATAAGCATGATTTTTGTGAAACACTTACCTGGGTATGTTTTTGTCAGACTCGCGTGCGGTGTTTCAGGGTTGCGTAACTCGCGTTATCGCGTTGACCAGGCCCCTGCCAAGCCTCTGGGAAGCGGTTTAATTTAGGGTTGAGGGTTTAGGGTTTTCGATGGTTTCGTAGGATGTGCTACACACAGACCCCTGAAATCCCTGAGGATTGCGTGTACATTGACTATCAGCTGTGGCGATGAGACGCCTGGGCCCCTAAACCTCAAGCCCTTAACCCTCAACTTACTGGTTTTTAGCAGGGGATAAAGGGATATAATCCCTATGTGATCCCTATATAACCCCCATACAATATAATCCCTTATTCCCTGCTCAGCCCCGGTAAGTAAATCTTGGACATGGCACCAGAGCCCCGTGGAATTCAGAACAACGGCCGGCTGACCAGTGACTTCGATGCCGCTGCCATTTACGGAGCACCTGTCTGTTGGAGCTGAAGGTCATACAAAGGTATGCGTGCTATAGCCTAAACTCCCAGTATCCCCCTCAAGAAACCTTAGAGTAGTCCCTTAGAAATGCCCTATATAACCACACTTTATGGAGTCTAGTTCAGCTTGTAGGGTTCAAGAGCTAGGATTTGGGTTCAAACAGGGTTTAGGGAGAAGGATGAGGGCTTCAGGATTAGGACGTGGGGATGAGGGTTCAGAGATAAGGGTTTAAGGTTTCAGGCGTGGGGTTCGGGATGTATCTGGATACCGGGTTTAGGGTACGGCACGGAGGTCTCTCTACGTCGTAGGTTTCTAACAACAATCCCTGCACAATGATTACGTGGGGTCTTTGCTGTCCCTATGCTCCCTAGAGTCTCTAAGAGCTCTGGGTTTGCGCGAGAAACACCCAAGAATCACATCAAAACACACGGGTGGGGCCGCGGTAATCCCTGAACCATTTGAAGCGATGGGATTCTGGTAACCCTAAAGCCCAACAATCAGACCCCGGCAAAAATCATACCAATCATAAGGTCCTTCCTTCGAAGGAAACGGGAACCAACATACCCTCAACCCTAAGGCTGCAGCGCTCCGGGCCTAAGGCTGAGGACCCCAACTCTCAAGCTGTGAAGCAAGGCACTTTTGCATCCAGATGCGCGTGAACATCTCGCCCACTCGGTTGTCGTCCTCACCATGCCCCGCAGCTACAGAGGATAGAGCCCTTAATCCTTACCCCTTACAGTAGCATTCAACACTACCTCACCACCTCTGGTGAAGATGTGTTCCCGGTTTGAGGATTTTTTTTTGTGTAGGGTTTAGGGTTTAGAGTTGAGGGTTGAGGGTTCAGGTTTACGTTTTATGGTTTAGGGTTTCATGTTTGGGTAAATGTTTACTGCTTGGTATGAAGTGAACGGGATTTGTCATTGGATTGGCCCACCTTGGGGTTTGAATATGGAATGAAGGAATGGTCCTACAGTAGCTAATTGCTTGAATCCAGGAGTTCTCCGTTTTCGTGGTCCCCTTCCAGATCTAGCTGATCTGGCTCTGCTGCTTCTGATCCATACCCTAAACCCGAAACCCTAAACAGCGTTCTTCCTTGAATGCTGGCATTACTTGCATGTCAAAGCCTCTCCAGGGCTTGCACGCGGATGCTGCTTGGTTCTGGCAAGGGGTGGCTCCTCTTCATGTGAGCTATAATCTAAACTCCTAGCATCCCCTTCATATCCCTATAGTAGTACCCTGTCTAATCCCCTATATAACCCCAATATATAGTAGTTTCCAATTTATTTTCCATTATCCCTATATAATCCCAATATAAACCCTACATAATCCCCAATATAAACCCTATAGTAGTCCCCTATATTGATATAACCCCCCTCTAAGGAGTTTAGACTATAGCTCACGTGCAGAGCCACTGGCACTGCTAAGTTTCTGTGGCCCACTGCGTAGCCTGGGAAGCGGTCGGGTGCACGCAAGCAGTTTCCACCGTCTTCCTGGGTTGCTGTTAAGAAACTTAAATTAAGTGTTTAGGGTTTAGGGTTAGGTACTATAATAAGGTGCACTATTATGTAACGCATACTCATATTCTGGTAACTTAATTTAAGCTCCTGAACAGCAACCCAGCTTCAGCTGGCCAAACGTCCGCTCTGCTTTGGAGAGCTCGGAATTTCGGATCCCCACACCTGTCTCCAAAGAATTGGAGAATAACCGGACGTCGAAAGTTTATGCGAGTATGGGGTTTCCCAAAATTAGGGGTACCTTTTTTGGGGGGTCCCTATAGTATGTTGGGGTCCATTTCGGGATCCCCCTATTGTCGGAAAGTACCATGTATTGCATCATAGGTACCTGTAGGGTTCAAGGTCGTTTACGGTTAGAGAGTAGAGGGTCCTAGGGTTAATGTTGGGGGCCATTTCGCTAGAATAGGACCTGAACAGGGCCTTGTGGCATGCTATACAATGGAGTTCTATGAGGGTCCGCGGAAAATTCCGTACAATATCCATTAGATAACCCACATAAACCGTAATAATTATTACCGACTAATCGCCGCAACCCTCAAATCCTACATTCCGCCATTTCCCAAAGCACCAAAAAGATGTTGAGGGTGTGGGGCTGGACTCAGCTTTGCAGCGCAAGGCTTGGGGTGAAACCCTAAACCTTCAACTGTGGGCTTGAGGGATTAGGCCTCAGGCTTTGGCAGCTTAGAGTTTAGAAGTTTAGGCTTCAAGTAACACCTCCAATTATGGCTTTTGGGCTGTGTGGGAGTTCTGGCCCTAGCACGATCTGCCGAGACAAAGTAGAAGAAAAAGCGTTCAAGAATCAGGAAAATCACGCTCGAGACCATGCTTCGTAAGACCTTGAACCAACAAGATTGGAAATGTAAGCGTGCTCAGGAAAACATCTTCTGGGAAAAGTCTTCCTCTTATGATGCCTTCCAGAAATGAGGTCGCGCTTCGGAGCAAGCCAGAATAACTTCAGAATCGAATGCATTTTGGGGGGATAAATGAAGGCGTCATATCCCTTCCTCCCACCCCGCGCCGTCTTCCACAGCAAGTACGTCGCGCCATCTACGTCTCGGAAGAGATGCGGGTCGATGTCGCCCCCTTTGGCGCCCCCAAGCTCCAGGGGTCCTGCCGTGCAGCTACATCCTAAGCCCTGAAACCTAAACCCCAAACCCTAAACCCCAAACCCTAAACCCTAAACCCTGGCATTGAGAATCCCAAGGTCTAAGCCCTGAACCCTGAATCCTTTTCAAGGAGGGCCTGGGGGGTTAGGGCTTAAGGGGGTGAAGGGCTCACTGTTCCTAGAAGTTATAACTTCAGACTTCTATTTAAAGATTATGCGCTCACAGCAAGGAGCCAGTAAATGCAGGCTTGGCGCTCAACCTCTTTTTGGATTCAGGGCTTAGGGTTTAGGGGTTAGGGTATTAGGGCTTAGGGTTTAGGGTTTCAGGGTTTTAGGGCTTAGGGTTTAGGGTTTCAGGGTATTAGGGCTTAGGGTTTAGGGTTTCAGGTTTTTTTTTTTGCAGCGCCTCGGGTTTTAGGGCTTAGGGTTTAGGGTTTCAGGGTTTTAGGGTTTAGGGTTTCAGGGTTTTAGGGCTTAGGGTTTTAGGGAAATTTTAGTGTAGGATTTAAGGCTTTAGGGTCTGGGATTCAGGGTTGTAGTCGTTTAGGGTTTTAGGGTTTAGGTTTCAGCAAGGTTGAGGGTCTGTGGTTAATGAAACCCAAAACCCTTACGGCCCTAAAAACATTTGCCTACATTGAACCCTTACTCCACACCTGGGCACTAATACGCCCCTAAACCTTCAAATCGCAGAATCCTCGGGCCCGACAGCCTCTATACCGGACACCCGAGGTTTGTAAACCTTACACCAAAATCCACAACGCTTGAACCCAAGAGCCCGAAATCCTTAGACCCTAAACCATGAAACCTCAAATAAACCCATGAACTGGGTCATTGTTGGAGACAACTTTCATTTTCTATAATACTAGAACCCCACTCGTAAATGAAGTTGTAATCTTGAATATTTTCCTGACATGCCGGTAAACCCCTTATGAAAGCAAAACCCCAGGCCCTTAAGCCTCAAACCCTAAGCCGCAAACTCTTAAACCCTAAGCCCTAAACCCTAAAACCCTAGGCCCTAAACCCTAAAACCCTAAAATCCTAAACCCCAAACCCTAAACCCTAAAACCCTAAAATCCTAAAATCCTGAACCCTAAACCCTTAAACCTTAAACCCTAAATCCTAGACCCTACAACCCTAAGGCTTAAGCCTTTAAATCATATAGAGTAGTTTCCATTTTCTTTTCCATTATCCCAAGATAACCCTTTAAACCCCCACCCCCACTCCTGGAGCATATCGCGACCAGCTTTCCGGCAGCCGCTGCGTACCCTCCGCCAGCACCCAGCCGATCCGATGCTCCCCAGAGGGCTCCTTGTCCTTGCTGAGGGTCCCGTTTCAGTGTTTCGGGCTTAGGGTTTGGGACTGTAGCGTTAGGGTCAAAGGTTTGGGAAGAATTTTCTGAAGATCGTCTTGATCATGTGGATTGTCTGGAGATTATTGGTCACATAGATTACTGTCCTTTTACACAGGAGCTTCCTGAGGCTAGCTTGGCAGGAGGGTAGAACGGTGCAGGAGTATCGGCACGCTAAAAGATGGTTTGCCGAAATAATAAGGGGAGCCCAGTATAGACCCTCATATGCTATAGTCCTTATAAGGACCAAATTCAATGGTACCCCTAATTTTGAGAAACCCCCATAATCCAAAACCCTGCCCTGGCGCACACAGCGCTGGGTCGGGAAGGACAGGGCTCATCTTGTGCAAGGCCCAGTTGTTGAGGCCTTTGTAAATGTCCAAACAGAATGAGGACTGAATCCTTGACACTCCCAAAGGGTCCATGTAGCTATACGGTATATACTTGGGCCTTGAAGTAGGTATATGGGAACCCCTTTGGGCCCTAAGTGTATATCATATACCTACACGGACCCTTTGGGACTGTACAGGGTTTCGGATTTAGAGGTATAGGGATACGCGTATAGGAAATAGAACGGAATACGGCATTGTGGAAACGCAGTTCGGACCTGGGGATGTCCCACGATTTGGGCTTAGGGTTTAGGGTTAAAAAATGGAGCTCTTTTAGTTGCAGGAGCTTACCTGCAACTGTAAAGAACATTGATATACAGCTATCTAACTGACGATGTGCTCTCGAAATGAGCTCACATGTCAGGGACTGCGAGAGACGAGAGGGGTTGTTGAGCCTTACCCTTGGGTAGCCCCTTCATGTCCAAAATCAGAAGTCCTTAAGAGATTGAAATCTACAAGGGAACTTCCACAACATACTTACTCTAAACCCTAAACATACTTCCCAATCCTCCTTCTATTCTCCGTCTCTTTGATGGTGACCATACGCTAAGCCCTCGACCCGTACTTTGGGTAGTTTGTACAACACGTACTTCATTTGTTACTATGCCTCAAGGGCCAACGTGCCCAAATACTAGGATTTTAGGTCCCAAAGACTACAACCTGAATGGTTTTGGGATCTAACACCCACTATTTGCGTACTTGGACCCTGGTCCCCTGGTCATTCCTTTCCCAAAAGCGTTACAAACAGTGTGGTTTCCATGTTCTTTTCCATTATCCCTATATTCAACCCCCCCACATTACCCCTACATAACCCTATATAATGTCTATATAACCCTTATGCAGAGGATATGCAGTCCAGCGTCGCAGAAGACCATAGCATTCAAGGTCTCGTTAACCTCCAGCGCCTGACATCAAAGCTCATCAGGGTTTAGGGCTTAGGGTTTAGGGTTTGAGTTTAGGGTTTAGGGTTTAAGCATGGTGGTTCAGGGCCCAGGGTTTAGGGTGCAGCTTCTGCTGGTGAAGAGGCTCGCTCTGTGGGAGGTCAGAAAGTTTACTGTAGGGGCCTAAACAATTTGGAATATCATGTTGAGGTCTCTTTGAGGTAGCCTACACCAGAAATACACCAGGAATCTAAGACCATAATCTTCGTAGGATTCCTTGTAGACCCCTGCAAAACCCCAGTTTCTATGTCATTTTCCATGATCTTTCCTTGTTGCCTTTCTAATGGTGAGTTTAGGCCCCTAAATTACTGCCACAAAAGATGAGGAGCTGTGCACTGCAGCTTGATTATTCAGAGTGAGGGATCGATGGCTCTTATTTTAACCAAAACATCGGCACGAGTTGTCAAAATTATGGTCCTCTTTGGGTACCCTAAATACTTGGGGCTGTGTCATAGAGGGGCCAAATAAATCCATGATTTTGACCACCTACCGTTTCAGATCTTCACGCATCCTACGTCAAACGGCTAAATACACGCACACAGAAGCTGAGAGTAGGCTGTGAATACGGAATCTGATGGTTTCTCAAGCCCAACGTGCCATATGAGATTATTGGAAATGCACCTGAGCTCACACGTGTGCAGTGACGTGCTGTTGATCACGCCTTGAATTCCACTTCTAGCGGGAGTCCGTATTGGCCAGATATTTGTAATCCCATGTGTTTTGTATTTCCTAGTGTGAAGGGTGTGTACTGCAAGATTTCCGCTTCCACCGTAGCAACAAGAAACGCAAACCAAAAGCTCTGAACCCTAGACCCTAAACCCTGAATTCCAAACCCTAGACTCTGAACAAACTACAAACAAAACTTGTAAACGCTGAACCCTGAACTCGACTAAGCCACGTAGCCTCAGGGGCCCATCGATCGCCAGAGCTTGCCCAGGAAGGCAGCTGGCCTGTAAAAAGGGGCATTCAAAGTACATGAGATTACATAAGGCCTAAGGTTTAGGTTTGAAGGTGTTGGGCTTACGGGTAGGGCAATAATGAAGAATCAAATGGATAAGATGGAGAATGACATGGGAATTGTGTTTCACAAGGGTTGGCAAAGGTATCAATCATATGTAGGGGCCAAAGTTATTCGAAACATGGCTTGGGGCATATTGTGCCCTAAACAAGTAACGGTGATGAGGGAAGAATATTGGTAATTCTTCAGGATTCTATACCCTAACCCTAAATCCTGAATCCTTAATGTTTTGGGAGATTCGGGTTAGGGCCGAGGGTGCAGAGTCGCAGGGTTCCGGATTCTGAAATGGTGAGTCTGAGATGAAGGTATGGGCTTTAGGGTTTAGGGTGTAGGGTGTTTAGGGTTAACTCTGCAGTTTGGGCGGTAGAGTTGGAAGTCTCCAACTTGAGCTCCTCCACTCAACTTCGATCAGTTATCAGTGGCCGGTACGTGAGCTGCATCATGATTGGAATCATGAGGAAGCAGTTTAGGGTTTAGGATTGGAACCGTTAAGCCCTAAACCCCAGAGAAAGACTTTTCATGGCTGTCAACCTCATCTATCCTCGCAGTACTACAGTCTGAATGGTTTTGGGGACCTCAAACCCCACTATTTGGGTATTTGGACCCAAAAAAGCTGGCAACAAGGGCCGGCCAAAAAAGCATGCTCAAATCTTTCCATTTGGTTCTCCGTTTGGTAACCCTTAACCCTGAGCTCTGAACCCAAAACCAGAAACCCTAAATCTTAAACCCCAGGCTCTACATTCTTCCCTAAATCCTAAGCTCTGAACCCTCAACTTGTAAACTTAAACCCTAAACTCTAAGCCCTCTTCTTCATCGTTTCCGTCCTTTAAAGGCAAGCCTCCCAGCGCCGTGCCCAAGTCTGACAGCTGCTCCCAGGGCCAGAGCCTTTAGGATTTAAGGTTTAGGGTTTCGGTTTACGGTTTAGGGTTTACGGCTTAAGGTTTGGGGTTTAGGGCTTCGGGTCTACAGTCGAGGGTTTAGGGCTTAGGAGTTTTAAGGCTTCAGGAGGGTGAAGGGCTTCAGGGGTTTTTGAGGACTGAGACATGTCTAGGGCTCGGGGGTTGGGGGGAGGATACGGCCTTTTGGGCTTTAGCTTGTTTTTTTGGTTTAGGGCTTGGGGGGATGTAACTAGAGGCGCCAACTATCCGAATGTCAGGCTTCAGCTCCCAAATACTATAATCTGAATGGCTTTGGGGACCTACAACCCCACTATTTTCTGGACTTTTACACCTAGGCCCCTAGTGTTCCTTTTTTTGTGTTTTAGGGTTTAGGGTTTAGGTTTCATTGTTTCAGGGTTGTAGGGTTTAGGACGCAGCCTGTCGCCGCGGAAGAGTGGCAGGCCGCCACCCGTGCAGAGCAGCCGGAACCTAGGTTTAGGCTTTGGGGTCTTAGGCTTTATAAAGGCTTTAGGGTCCAGGCTTTGGGGTCTTAGGCTTGAGGGTTTAGGCTTTAGGACTTTAGGCTTTAGGGTCTAGGCTTTAGGGTCTAGGGCTTAAACTTCATGATTTTTAGGCTCTAATGTTTAGGGTTTACGGTTTTGGGGGATCTGCAGTGGATCCAGAAATCCTGCATCACCATGAGTATCCTAAACCTTGGCTGTTGTACTATTATATTGATATACTAAGGTCATGCGGGATTGTCAGCATCAACAGTAGTAATTGGGGTAACATTACACCGGTAATGCAGAATCAAACGGCAAAGCAAAAGGAACATCTAGTGGAAACCTGGCTTATGTGTATACATATATATGCTCTTCCTAGTATAGGTGGGGTGTCAGGGAACTTGGTAACTAGGTCAGTAATGTGTATAGGCGGGGCTAATATATGGCTACAGTATATTGATTATACGCATGCGTGCTAAGTGCCCCCCTGACCCTCCAAGTATGCATGCGTAAAAGATGAAAACTTCTATGGTATTTGGGTTTCAGCGCTTAGGACTTCATTGGGATTGAGACAATATGGACTACTATAAGGATAACGAAGAGACTGACTAGGGAGGACTTTAAGGGTTCATCCCCATATTCCGAAAAAGCATCAGCAAGCTGATTCAATGCGATTCTTCTCTTGAAACTTTGGGATGGAGTTTTGTTTCGAACTGCCTAAACAACTCCGTTTGCTTCCTAGATATGGGGTCGGAGCGTTGAGCGAACAGGAAGTAACATGAAACTTCATACTGTTGTACAGTGATCATGACAACCGTGATTTGGGAGTTGCCCAATGTCCTATGGCTTGGGTACTGCCCCTACCCAGTAACAACGACTAATGGGGGGTAATATTGAGGGCTGAAGATCCTTTGCCAAATCACTTCAGGAAGCAGGTAATCTTATGAGTTTCCAGGCAGGGCACCGTGCATGCATGCTTCAGTAAAAAACAAAACAGCGTTAAACAACCCTAATGTAGACCCCGATTTAAAACAAACTCCTTTTTAATGGCCTGAATGTTAGGATCTCTATTATAACCCCTATTCAGGGAAGGGGCTTCATTAACCACGGGTCTACATTACGAAATCCGCCTAGCCTTGTGCCAGGGATACGCGAACCTCTGGTCAAACCTCTTAGATTGAGGATGAGAGGGGCGCTCAATAAAGGGGTATTATAGGGATTATGTTGGGGTTATATGGGGGTTATGTTGGGGTATATAGAGGTTATATTGGGTTTTTCGGGTTACGGCTACTGCATCTGAAGACTCAGATATGAGATGAATGCTGCCGTCATCATGTTACTATGACTGCTACTATCACTAATAGTATGAGTATTATTACTAGGTGCTGCTGCTACTATCGGTTACAGTTAACACATTAAATACTGTTAGTGTTAGAGTTACTATTACTGCTACTACTACTGTTTCTATTGCTATCCATGAGTCGCTTGGGAAGACCCCCGCTCCTCTTGCATGCATTCAGGCTTCCAGTCTCATGCATCTTAACCCAGAGCCCCACGAGAGACAAAAGGCCAAAAAGCCGAAAAACGAACCATCGGACGTCCGCCATGCGAAGGGGTCCGCGCAAAAGCCTGTTCCGCGGAGACTTTCAAAGGCTTGCAACCGCCTCGAAACAGGTCTTCCTCAACATACCAGTACCTCAAGGACTTTGGAAAGAGTTTGGGAGGACCGAAAAGGCTAAACCCTAAACCCTAAATCCTAAACCATCAATCCTACACCCTAAAACCCGAGACGCTTAAACCCTGAAACCCTAAACCCCTGATCAAGGAGAATCCTGCTGAGTAATTATTTGCAGATCATGCCAGGCCACTCCCATGCCTGTTGTCTGGGGATTCGTAGCTCAAGTCAGTTTAGGACTTAGGGCTCAGGATTTAGGACTGGTTTTCCGCACAGAGTCCAGGATCCTACCAAGAGATTTGGGGGTTCCCAAAATTAGGGGTACTTTTTGGGGTGGTTTCGAATAATAAGGATGACAGTATTTTGGGGTCTATATTGGGGTCCCCCTATTTTGGGAAACTACCATTTAGTCGAACTCCCCGTCCCCCAGTACTCCCTCAAAAATTCTCTAATCTAGTCCCACTATACAGGAAGGGCATATTTGTCGTTAAAGGGATGGGAGAGGGGGTGATGATTAGGGGTTGGTGATTATGAACCCCCACACTAATTCGTAAGTATGTGGGGGACATTAACGGTGGCGTGTTGGAAGGATGAGGCTGGGGCATTGAACCACAAACCCAAATGCCAAACAGGGTTAGGGTTGAGGACTCTGAGCTTTGCATGGTCATAAGGAACCAATCACACTGTGACACCTTTCCCCCGAATGATCTCTCTGATCATGTCTTGGCTCTGAACCTTAAACCCTGAACCCTAAACCCTTAACCCTAAACCCTTAACCCCAAACCCTGAACCCTAAAACCCTAAACCCTTAACCCGAAAACCCTTAACCCCAAACCGTGACCCATAAACCTAAACCCAGGCCAAAGCCTTCCGTACTCCTCTGATGATACACATCGGTACCACTCATCGGATGCCTCTAGAGCTTGGTGGAGGGTTAGGGTTGAGGGTTCAGGGTTTACCTTACTGGTTCTTAAATAGGGAATAGGGGACTATACTATATAAGCCATAGTCATAGTCTAAACTCCTAGTATCCCCCTTAATAACTCCTATAGTAGAGCCATATATAATGCCCTATATAATGCCTTTAAGGCATGTAGACTATAGCTCACAGAGATTGCATTGCCTTATTCCCAACTAACAACGAGTAAGTGTCATGCTTTTAGATTTGGGGTGTTTAGGGTTCAGGGTCTGAAGGGGTTCGAGGTGCCTAAGTCCTCCTGGTATGGGTCTCCAATAGAACTCCACAATATGGATTATAGTCTGAACCTTTACCCGTTCATGATTCTAGAAGTCAGCCTAAGCCAATGTGGCTTCCGCAAACGGACTCCAGGACCGCCTCGAAATCAAGAGTCAGCCTAAACCGTGAACTGTAAGCCCCCCATGACAAACAAAGCTCCTCCAACTGGGTTGCCGTTAAGGAACTTAAGCTATGTTACTATAACGGGTATATATAATACCGTAATTAAAATGGTTTCCCCAATATAGTAACTTAATTTAAGTTTCTTAAGCAGCAAGCCACCCAAATACGCGCATGTGGATCCCGAGGCTTCAACCCTGAGGCCCTTAAGGAATCAACGGGAATATGGGTAGTGTAATGGGTCTATAGGGGCCCAAGCACCAAAACCGCAAAGTAGGGCAAATCTAAAAATGCAGCCCTAAACACTATAAACCCTCAAACCCCCTAAAACCTAAACCCAAACCTCAAGGCAGGATGCCAAAAAAAGTCAGCTCCGTCCGATGCAACTGATATCGATGACTCCTCCTGCAGGCACGAGTGAGTTGGCAGCTATAGGCTATAGGGGTGTCTGTAATCCCCTGGACCTATAGAAAAGATGTTTGTAACAAATTCCTAGGGGTGAGAGTAGTACAAGAAGCTTAAATGAACTCCTCAG